AAAATTAGGCAACAAAAGTGAAAATATTCCTCCGGAAAAAAAATTATCTTTTACAAACCTCTTCACACAGACACCGAGCAGCAAATATGTAGAGTTTATGGAAACTTTTTGTAGATAGAAATACATTTTTCCTAAACACTTAGCGATGGCAGCAGCCAGTTTAAAAACTTGTATTCAAAGATATTACCTAAATATCCTCCTAAATAGGTTTCATATTGCATGAAGGTATACAGTCTTTGCAGTTAGGTACATACATATGTACATATGTATAAGGTTTACAATATATTATTTGAAATGCATACGGAGCTGCCAAATTTTACTATAAATACAATAAATATTAAAGCTCTTAAACTATGTAATGGCTGCAGTACTTATCATAAATACGCGATGCCATTGTTCGTTTAATGAACTGGCGGAGTTAAGCCGATTTGGCTGCAGTAAAGCGCCAACATAATTAACAGAAACAATGTGTGCTATTGTGCCAAAATTTTTCATATGTTAATCGTTGTCTACCGCATACGTATATACATATGCAGGTATAACTATGTAAAAGCAAGAGGATTTGCTTGTTATACTTTATTATGCCCTCAAGTATGGAATCAAGCATTAATGCATATACATATGTAAGTACTCATAAGTATGAATGTATGTGCAATAGCCTCAGCAATTTTAACCCCGTCGCATTAAAGGTTGATGTGCACTTAACATTGTAAGCGTTTTTGAAATTGAATTTTGGTTTGATTAATTAATTAAAACTGGAGATACATTCATCCAATAATAAATTATGGCAGAATAACATATAATCTCAACCACCGTAACAGAATTCTCCAATTTTTGTATAATTCAATTAGTTAACTCCACTAAACTAAAAGTTGGTGCTTGCCAAAGTTAAAATACCTTGCAAATGCAAATCGATCTTTACGAAAATGTGTGACAATTTTAGGCCTAAATTAAACTATGCTCAAGATAAGTATTCAGTAACGATAGTCGAGTCATTCCTATATATTGGTCGCCTAACAAGAGTGTTTAGAGGTGTTGCATCCACCTCTCATGTGTATACTCTGAATGCCAGTTACCATATTTCCATCTTGCAACGCAATCCAGGTCTTGAAACCATTTGATTTCCGCCTTAGTTTTTGGTAAGTTGTATTCGCGGGACTGCATTACCGTCTGTCAACATCTGAAGCACTTCACACTCGCGTTTTTAGCCTCTCTTTTCTTTCTTTTGAAAATATGTCTCTCCTTCCACATTAATTGAAATTCCATAAACACAACTGCTCCCTAGTTCACTTATTAAGAGCTGAATACAATGTTACGTATACGCCACGTACATTTCACTCAAATTATAAAGAAAGATGTTGAATTTAGAGCGGAATTAGCGTAATTCACTTTATCTTATAATCTGCACTATCCTTTAAATAACTTTGTTGTCTTGGCTTTAATATAATTTTCAACTACTTAGACATCTACAAGAACGTCAATGGTAGGGTAGGGACATCGATTTTTAAACTTGCCATATGTTCTGAATACCCAAGTAGTTACGGTTTACGTATTTTATTATTCTATGACGCAAGAGCACCAAATAAAAGGATGACAATGCATACATAGATACATATGTATATACACACTAATGTACATATGCCAATAGCAGTCCTGCACTACGTCTCCTCTGTCACGTTTTTGTTTTTAATCACGTAATTGAGTGTAATGACATATCGATTTGTTTTATTACACAGCTACATATATAAATATATGGTATCCAGGTACGTTTGAGGATTTTATGAGGTGCTAGATTTAAAGTAAAGGTTATGCTTTACGGCCAATGTATTTTATTGTCGCCACATACATTATATGTTCATATGCAGGTAAATATAGAGTTTATGGCTCATATGCTATTAGTTCAATTTGAAGCAACTCATAAACGTATTTTGAAGTGAAACTTCTTTAGCGGCGGTTGGTTGGTTCGGAGTAAATTGGCAAATTCAACGGAAATTGCACACGGAAATGGTTGGTACAGAAACAAGTGCTTCTTGAATGTATGATATTAATTTAACAAAAGCTTGCTAATAAAAGCTTAAAAGAATAACACTTAGAAAAATACGTTGGTTGAAAGTAAAGGTGAGTACGTACATGGATAAAGAAAAGGATAAAGGCAAAGGTAAAAATAAAAACAAAACCAAAGATGTGTAAAGATAAAGGCAAAAATGAAGACCAAGGTAATTTTAAACACTTTGCTTATACAAGGGCAAAGGTAAAGTGGAATATGTAGATGAAGAAAATGATAATCATAAAAGTAAAAACAAAGATAAAGTAAAAACAAAAATAAATATAAAGAAAAAGGTGAGAAGCAAAGATTAAGATAGAAGAGAAAAGATTAAAATAAAAGTAATTAATAATAATAATAATATCCTAACGGTTTTTACCCTCCCTTCCCGCCCATCCGCACGAGGGGCGCAGTCCGCATGACGTACGGAACCAATATTTTAAATTTTTGTGCCGAGTCACGATAGGCAGGAGTTTGTTAAGTGTCGAGATCTAAAACTGTTCAGCTACAGAACTAAATTCATCAGCTGATTTTATGTATTTATGTCAATAATTCACTTATTGAGAGAGGAGAGTATCGCTTTCTTAATGCT